TAGCGGGTATCCAACCCCAGAGAACAGAGGTCCCCTTATACTTTTCCCAGGATCACCGGGAGGCTGCAACCTTGAAACTGAAAATGCAAAATCGAACCTGTTTCCAGGAAACGTGTAGGCACTTCATTTCCCCGAAACTGTGTATCATTCCCTAAGAGTACCGGGAACTCTAACAAGGACAAGAACAGGTGGTCCCCAGAACAAGCGAAGGATGTGAGAGCCATATTAATAGGTAGCATTTATTGAATGGTGCATAGAATTGTTAACCCTGTTTTAACGATGAGGAAACTAAGCCCAGGGAGAAAGACAAGGGCTCTTGTGAATGTGGTGGACACCCCTGCACCACAGGGTCTTTGCCCCCAGGCTGATAGGTCCCTCCATCTGTCCCCAGGTGGAGGAGGAGCTGACGCACCTACAGAAGAAGCTGAAAGGGACGGAAGACGAACTGGAAAAATACTCTGAGGACCTGAAGGAAGCACAAGAGAAGCTGGAGCTGACCGAGAAGAAAGCCTCCGACGTACGTGCGCAGTAAAGGGGGTGCCGTGGCAGGGCCAGGCGGGAATCCGGGGATCCCGCGGGCGGGAAGCTCCAGAGGAAGAGAAGGACGAGGAGGAGGCGGTGCCTCCCGGCACTTTCTCCAAATAAGTCCAGAAAAGGGGCACTTTCCAGCAGCTGCGGCCAGCGGTGCCGACGTCAGGCCCTCCCCCAGCGGTGCTGACGTCGGCGGCCCGGCCGGGTGACCTCATCGCCCCGACGGCAGCCGAGCCGGGGGCGGGGAGAGGCGGGGGCGGCCCGGGCGCAGGCAAAGGCGCGGGGGTCTGGGCGCGGCTGCTGCAGCTCTAGCCGGAGCGGAGCCGAGCCGAGCCGAGCCGTGCCGAGCGCCCGCCGCTGCCCTCTGCCCGCTGCGTGCGCCTCCGCGCCATGGCCGGCCTCAACTCCCTGGAGGCGGTGAAACGCAAGATCCAGGCCTTGCAGCAGCAGGCGGATGAGGCGGAGGACCGCGCGCAGGGCCTGCAGCGGGAGCTAGACGGCGAGCGCGAGCGGCGCGAGAAAGTGAGCGACCCAGCCCCGCGCCCGCACCCCTCGCCCGGCGCGCCCTCCTTTCTTCCCTTCTCCCGGCGCCGCCCGCTTCCCGCGCTCTCCGCCCGCCTTCGCGCCCTCCCGCCCTGCGGCGCCGGATCGTAGACCTGTACCCAGCACCACTTTCTCCGCGGCCATCCTTCTGGGGCCTGGGGACGCGGGAGAGGGCACCGCATCCGCGGGGGGGG